TTTTGTCGTCTAACTAAAAAGTCGTTTATTTAATCATACGTTTAGTGCACTGCGCAGCAGGTTTTTACTACTCTAGTTCACAGAAAAAGAAGCGTGGGAAGCGGAGGTAAGTAATTGTTGATTGGTAGGAGTGTATATATGTCGATCGTCCAATCAAAAACCATAAATCATCATTGTAATTTTTCGATAGACTTCGTAATAATAAGGTATATATTTATATATGATAATTCAACCACCGGAGGGCTATCTTTATTGAGATAAATATAAAATACAAGATAGAAAAAAAAGTACATCTAACAAATCTAGTTGTCATCTCGTGGAGTGGAAACTGTGGCACTATCTTCCATTTGTCTTGCAATGTGGAGATAGATGCATGATATAGTAAAGATAAATTAGTAATTACTATATTACGTAAAAGTAACAAAGTTTCTATAAATTTAGTTACAACAGCTTCATCCAAAAATTGTACAGGAATCTCAACAGATTGTAAATGGTAATATCGGTGTACATTAACCATATCACGTACGAGAAGATTCAAGTGTAATACTTTACCTGCCACCTGCATACCTACGATACCAAACTGTTCTTTATCTGGTTTAAGACTTTGGCGTACCCAATATAGTCCGTCATTAGTTTCTCGCCATAACTTAATCTCATAGTCGGTCTTTTTTTGTGGACTACAAATTAATCGAAAACATTCTACGTACATAAATTCAAAAACTACAAGCATAATATCTGGACGTCTCCCCATGTAACCTTCTCCCTTTCTATTAGCACTTGCGATACTTTACTTCTCCGATGTACTAATAAAAAAAGCGTCTCCTATGGGAAGATTTTTCAATGAAGCTCGAATAGCAGGTACAATGACAGTTGATTGGTGCGTCCCCTCATTTAATGTCTTCGCAAGTTCGGGATCGAATGCTGAGTTATTCCAAATATCTTTCAAGACATTAAGAATTTCTTTAACCACGCATTCAATATCTTCCTTCTGTTCTTTCCAAGTTCCGTCGTGTGATACATAAAATTAATGCGATACCCTCCAATATGCGAATCAATTCAACTTCATTTATTATATGAATTCTTGAAAACCATGTAAAGGAAAATTGAACAGTATCCAAACGTATACTGTTGAACACATCAGTCTGATAAATAGTAGTAATTATTAGATGCATCAATCAAAAAATTAGCCATGCAACAAGAATAAAGTGACTATGAAAAATGAAGAGGCAAAGCCTCTCAACTATTTAACTAGTTAACAGCAAATTTCGGTCTGCATATAAAGATCGGGTAACAGATGTAAAATTTAATTGGACGCTACTTTAAAAAAGTTGCGGTGATGACCGTACAATGCAACTTCGATCGAATCGCAACTCACTCTCTAATAAAATTTTCTTATAGTCCAACCAAACGCCTTTTCATTTACCCAAAAGACACCTCCGATAGCAGATTCAATCAATTTGTCCAAGAAACTCTTATCAGCAACAGTTACGTTCATTCCAATCTCTTTGTCTTTTGCGTTGACTGCGAAGACAAGTTGTATATCTTTGGGATTAGTGGCAATGGTAGATGGAACCGCCCTGAAAGATTTACGGGATTACCTCCCGCAATCTGATATGTAACATTGCAGTAGTCTGGGCGCCCAATTCCCTATTCAGTAGTAGAGACGCAGATGTATCCCTTCTGATCAACGTCAAATGACTGGTTTTGGACCTTGGTGGTTCCGTGAAGCCTATAAAAAATCTCAACTTTTGGCCCAAATGAGCCATAACTGCCATATGAGAATGCGCTTTCGGAACTTAAACTGACTATTCCGAGTGTACCATTCCTAGTAGTTGTCGAAACATCGAATGGAAGCGAGGTTTTCTTCTGAGAAAAAGAAAAGAAAAAGATAGAAAATAAATCTTCGAGCGAAATAAAATGCAAGTTCGACCGTCACTTACAGTATTATACAAGCTAACACTCCCATTGACAAAATCGATCATACAGTACCAGGGTAGCCCGTCACCGGGTACAATGGGGTTGACATCGTAGACAGTCAAGTTCAAGCCATCGGGGATATACTTGACGAGAATAGTCTGATGAACTGTACCTTACAGGCATGTTGGACGGCAAAGAATAAACTTTGTAGTAGATGGGTAGCTCTTTGGCGGAATACTAAAAATTCAGGTTCATAGGCCACGTCTAAATATCTTTTCTGCCATTTATTTGTTGCCTTTTTTTGCCTCTTTCCGCTGATGTATATAATCGGGAATTTACCCGCCCAGGTCACACAGCCTGCTAGGTTGTACAGCCGATAATCGCTCAAAAAGTAAAACAAAATTTTTTGTGGTAAAATTGTTACGGCCCATTCTGAAAATTGGCGGGCCCGTTCTAGGAATCCCAAAATGGGCCAGCCCATTTCAAGAAGGGACAATTGCAAAAAAATTTTCATCACAGTAACACATACAGGTAAAGTCTACTCCGTTTGCGGATATGCACGCTTTTACATTCGAACAAAGTCAAACACCACAGCTATTACGGCCCATTCTGAAAATTGGCCGGTCCGTTCTGGGAATCCCAAAATGGAGTTTTACGTTCTTTTATTGTCTACACCTACGATTGAACGCTAAAGGTGTACCAGGAATCCCAAAATGGGCCAGCCCATTTCAAGAAGGGACAATTGCAAAAAAATTTTCATCACGGTAACACACATCATACGGACGTTACGCTCTTTATTATTATTGTATAATATCAATAGACGATAAACTAGTTATCTTTGTAATAACGGACTGGTCTAATGCAGCAAAACGATATTTTATTGTTACATGTTCCACGACATTGACTATGTTACACAAGATTGATATATTGTTTATTGATCAGTCTTATCATTCTCGAAAGTTTGTATGAAGAATGAACGATTTTGTTGATTTGTCCTCGGGTCTTTCGGCTGACTATGAGAAATTGTATGAAAATCGCAGATACACAGACGTTTCAATCCAGGTTGGACAGGAGCAAAGTAGCAAAATATTTTTTGCTCACGCATTGGTATTGTGTACGAGAAGCAAATTTCTTGAGAATAGTTTAACGGGGAATGCAGAGTCACCTGACGAAATTAAAATGACGGCCATGACATTCGAAGATGTGACTCCTGACGTTTTTGAGACCTTGCTCAGGTAAAACTGTCAAATAGAGTGCACAATAATCAATACTAACACTCGTTGCAACTACTGAACTAACGATTCATAATAGGTATATTTACACGGGGCGAATGTCCTATGATTCATGCAAGAATATTGGTTGGATCAATCTTATGGATGGAGCTGGCAAGTTTGAATTGCTTGATCTTCTCACTGCAATTGAAACTTGTTTGATTGATAAACAACAAGAATGGATTCAGCAGAATATTCTCACAGTTCACAAGTGTGCCGCATCCACACCCTCTTTGAACAGACTTTTAGATTATTGCAATCAGATTATGGTATCACATCCAGCGATTATTTTTAAATCAAATGATTTTGTGACCTTACCAAAGGAAACTCTGGTTACTCTTCTCAAGAGTGATGACCTCAGGATGGAAGAAGATGATATATGGATGTCAGTCATACAATGGGGTACTGAACAAGTGCCCGAGCTAAAGCTTGGAAATGATCCAAATGACTGGTCATTTAATGACATTAACACAGTCAAGAATATCATAGCAGATTTTATACCTCATATAAGATTTTTCAATATCACCCCTGACAAGGTTGCTCTATATCATGATTTATTACCAAGAAAACTGTGTTGTGATATACTTAATTATCATATGGATAAAAGTTATAAACCAAGCAAACCAACAATGCGAATGGAAAGGATTGCTCCTCTTGAGAGATCTGAAAACAGATGGGTATCTCTGTCAGTTGCTGGAGAGATTCCCAAGGCTGGTGAAGAGACAATTGAGATGATAAAGAGAAAAGTTAAAGCTCTGCTCAACAAGTTGACATTAGAAAAATTTGAGATTATATCTGATCACATTATCGAGTTTGCAAATAAATCAAAAGAAGAACGTGATGGGAGAATATTAAAGACAGTTATTCAGCTTACCTTTGAGAAAGCTTGTGATGAACCCAATTTTAGTCAGATGTATGCGCAACTCTGTCGGAAGATGATGGAGCGCATTGATATGGATATTTTTGATGAGAATATTAAGAATGCATCAGATGAATATTTTCGCGGTGGTACGTTGTTCAGGAAATACCTACTTAACAGATGTCAGGATGGCTTTGAAAAAGGTTGGAAAGCTAATATGCCAATACCAAACAATGTGAAGGGAGAGCCTGACTTGTTGTCTGATGAATATTATATTGCTGCTAAAGCTAAAAGACATGGACTGGGTGTGATTAAGTTTATTGGAGAGTTATTCAAATTGCATATGTTGACTGAACGTATTATGCATGAGTGTATAAAGAAACTATTAGCTAATCATCAAGACCCAGAAGAAGAGAAAACTGAATCTCTGTGTGAATTGCTTACGATAGTTGGAAAACAACTGGATCATCCGAAAGCAAAGGATCATATGGACGCTCACTTTGTTCGTATGGATAGTATGAGCAAGAATACAGAAAAACTTAACAGTCGTATAAGGGTTATGCTTATGGTAATTATGCCAACGGTTCTTAAGAAATATATCATTTGGACGGTTCAATAGCTATTAACTATGTTTTTCTGTAGGACTTAATTGAACTCAGAAAACGGAATTGGGTACCACGCCATAATACCAATGCACCAATGACGATTGCAGAGATTCATGAAGCTTTCTATAAGGCGGATAAACGACGCTCAGCGAGTACCAGTGATGGTCGAAACATTCCTAGAATAGCTGAAGAAGCTAAGCGAAAGATTAAAGTCATGGTTGACGAATATTGGTCGATGAAAGACAAGAAGGTTTGTTTATTACTTACAAATCTATTAGCTTTACATTGTTATAGAGCTGATCTTGTTAAAATTTTTTTCTGTTACAGGAAGTTGCCGTACGAATCAAAGAACTTCCTGTCAGATATTTTGGTGATGCAATCCGAGAGTTTATCGAATCGGCGCTTGACAAGAAACCAGACGATGTTTCAAATTGTGCCGACCTTCTCAAGGAACTTCGGAAGCAAGCTGCAATATGTCCAGCAGATTGCAAGAAAGCGTTTACTGATATTATAGACAATTTAGAAGATATTGGAATTGATGTTCCCCAAGCTTATGCACACACTGGACAATTGTTACACGGCGCTCGGATAGAGTTGCATGAAGTGGCTGAATTGATACGACCGCTAACTGACATAGGAGGGAGTGAACCACCCTCGGCAAAGGTTGTGGCAGGATATCTAAATTCAATGAAAGCTTCTATGGTATGTGAACGGATTGAGGGTTCGGTATGATATGGTATTTAGAATTTACGTTTCCCAAAAGAATGTTTACCGTTATTTTATATTCATCAGGGCGAACAGATGGTACTCCGTCAAGTCAAAAATGTCAGATTTGATTTCGCCTCGCTCTTCCCTGACGGTAATGAAGATGCTTTAAATAGGTTTTTGGAAAAACAGGTATGTTTAATTATATTGTGCTGATTATCTTGAAAATTAACATTTAATTAAAGACTTTGTTTATTGTATTTGATTACAGGGGTTGAACATATTGAAAAAAATGTAACAGATTACATGACGTCAATAATTACGCGTATTCAATATTAAAGATTGCATGAATTTAAGTCTTTATCAAGATGATTGCACCCATATTTTGATGACCGAAATTCTTGTGGTCTTGTGATGATGTCTTTTATAGGCATGTATCAAACCAACCAATTCGACCCAGTTCGAACTTAACTGATATTTTATTCCATAAATTATGCAATAATTTCAATTTATTAGTTAGTAATAAAAAAAAGAGAATAAACATTAACCCAAACTACTAATAAATCATGCTTTTCATAAGCAGTAGAGTATAAATGATGCGAAATTCACCCCCCCCCCCAGAAGATCAATCAGCCGTGTCATGAGCGATTTAAACCCGCTCTGATATATTAAGTAGATAAGAAAATAATAACTGTTTACATATTATTTCGATAACAGATAACAGATTTTTGCGTTAACTTTTATGAAGACTAAAAACAATTGTTGGCGCAATTATTCTTCGGAGACTAAATAAATTACACATTTGCATTCCCAACTCCATAATGACCTTAACTTATAAATTTATAAAATTTTATTTCTTAAACCTTCTGCACTGTGAACGCGATGGGCTATAACCGAGGGTTCTGGACAAAAGTAATGGCGGTAGGTATGTGACTTCGTTTTTTGTTGATAGCATCTCCGTATCGCGTTTTAAGCGTTTGTTTACTAATACCAAATTGAGCAGGAGAACAATAATAACAATAAAACACAAAATTCTAAACCTTTTCACGATTATTTTTGATTTTAACTATGAATTTGTTAAAGTCTTTTTGGAGCAAAACGTCCATAATGCAAAAAATTTCTGGTTCTTTCTTACGAGTACGCACTAGAGATAATAATATCTCTTTCTCACTTAATCACATCGGTATACATAGCCTTTCCTATGTTGGTTAAGTTATAAAATGTTTGTCACGAAGGAATACATAGTGAAACCACTACGAGTCGACGGAAAGACTCGCCCCGTTTTGATACAAGTAATAACATTAACACAACTCTTGTTCAGCGAACGTGTTCACTTACGAACGCTTTTATTTTATTCTTAAACATGATTTTTCTCAACGAACAAGTATTGTTCCGTCGAACTAATCATCTGTTGTAAAGCTTTAGCTGTCATTATCGTAGCGGAAGTCTTATAGTAAACCAGCTTCCATATCGCTACGTTTATAGACATTAAGCTCCTTCTTCACGATAGTCGCTTCAGGAGACTTAAAATGATATTGCATTTATTATCCTTTCATTCGAACTGATCGTTTTCGATATTGAATTGCTTGCAATAAGCTAACCAAGTTTTACGACAAAAGTCCAACAAGGTTTTAAATTCATATACCGAGGTTGATCGTCGTCCATTTCATGCAGGGGTCAAATTACAGTAACTAGAATATACTTGTAACAACAAACATTCTACCAGCTATTTTATTTGTCGTCTATATTATGAATGTGATTATAGAAGGAATATTTCTTTTATTGACAGCGGCGCTGTTGTGCTATCAATGTGACAAATATTGTGCCTAAAGAAAAAATAAATTTAAATTTTACTTTCCTTTAATTGGCAGATCATATACAGTAGCTCTTGGAGTAAATTGTTCATAGAACTTTGTGTGCTCGTTAGCACTATAAATCCGTTTAATAAATTGAGTTGTTGTCTATTGCTATCATAGTAATAAGGACTAGAGATTATTGTCAACGTGTTTTATTACACAGCCATAGTAACTATGGAACAATAAATTAGTTTATTACGTTTATGAAAACAATATCATAAGTATACAATTATCTCGAAGATATTACTGAATATTAACAAACTTAATTTTACGAGTACAGCCAGACGTGTGCTACATAAACATGACTATTTTGGCCGCATTAGAAAAGGAAAACCATGTGTTTCAGATAACTTAAATGTTGTCAGGCACGTAAATCCCGGAATGAAGAATAAAGTTATATTATTTGGAATTCCGGTTTATTCTATTTAAAAATGATGACTAGTAATGATGGGGGAGTTTTGTTAAAAACAAGCCAAGTTTTTAGTGGGTTTGGAAAAGTATTACAGGTGAGGTATATAAAAATTTACGTTGTTAAGAATATTAGCTTCACTTTCTAAAATAACGATGTTCCCGTAGAGTTAACTCTGTATTTGAGAGTAGAGGAAACCCCCCCCGCAATGTAAGCATAATGTTCGCAATGCATTAATACTAAATTTAAAAATTAAACGAAGACTTCAATAGAATTCGCTATATCTATTATCACTGTATGACGTGCGTGGTATTATGTACATGAAGCAATTTACTCTGGAATATTAAAAGCGATTATCATTGATCACTTTACCAATAGTAAGCAGTAGATAATAATCTGTTGATATACCATTGGGTCTTTTTTTTAATCAAATACGATTTATTTCTCGTGTAAATGAGATGGAAATTTACGGGACGTTATTACATAAACAATATTTAATTTAAATCAATTAAAGCCACTTCATCTTATGCGATTTGATTTCAAATTGTTTATTACATATTGGATTATATCATACATATTTGAACTTGTTGCCTTAAAAGCTGTCTATAATTATCTAAGATAGCATTCCGATTGTATCGACGCAGAAATTTTTATCGTTGGTAACTAATAATAATCAGACTATTTAACTATCATACTTATTGGCCGTTATTAACAACTTGGTCATTAATAACGTTGTCATCACAAACTGAGATGACATCGAGGTATATCTCAGTATGTATATATCCAAACTCTTGACTTACGGAACTTAATTCCTTGGGTGGCTAAAGTCCCTACCACGGAATACAGTCAAAAGCAAACAAATGTAATGCACATGCCGTCTATAGATGCTGTCATTGTCTATAGCGTTGTCACCCACTCAACACATTGAGGTGGCAGCATATCGAGCGGGATTAGAAAGTGGTCTATTCTCTTGCGCCAGCGGCACTTCTCTTGCATCAACTAAGATTTCGATATACAGGGAGATGTCTATGATTTATTTTAACGAGAAATTCGGTAAAACGAGGTACCCTCATTGTAACAAAGCTTAAAGTCAAGCAATATTCGGTATACTGAGGCTTTTATAAATAATGTTTTATTAAACAGCAAAATAAACACAAATGTGCAGGAAAAGAATAAGTCGAACTAATTACTAAAAAATAAATCCATTATAGATTGCTTTTGGCAGTGACACTACGTTCCTTTTCAATGAGCGAAAGACTTTCAGCTCATTGTAATCTTACCATGTTGAAGAAAATTGAACGCCGCTTCAAGTGCAGTTACAACATCTCTAGTCAAACAGTGGGAATACATGAGTCATTTTTCTCATCGTCCAATCGTCTTTATATATTCTGTGTCAATCAAATTTCTTGTCGAGATGTGACATCGTGTACTACCTGTATGCTATTGCCAAACGATTCATCTTTAAAGTGATAATTCCCAACAGTACTATCACACAGATATTGATATTGCGTGAAAGCACTATATGACAAACTTTGCAATTGTTACCGATCATTATAATCACGGGATTAAAATTCGTTATAAAGCGACTAGTATTCTAACAAAAATCCTGTACTCGGAATTCGGTAATGGAATAACGAGGTTTACCATCAAATTTCGTGATAACGATCAGATTTAAATATTAAAAAAGTGGGAGTGCTTCGGTATAACGTCAACTGGACTGTATTTATGTATTTTCATTCGAAATCAATCCACTCGTAGTAGTGCTAAGACTTTTTGCCATCATGAGTTGACTACAACCGTCTGATGCGCAGCACATCGAGTGGGAATAGAAAGTGATTCATATGTGTGTCACTATGCCACTCAAATGTGCGCTTACTTTTGCCACTTCGCCACTTAATATGTTTTTCGATGTTATATATGTGCGCTTAATTTTGCCATTATACCACTTAAGATATGCCTCACGATTTATATGTGTGCGTTTAATTTTTCCATTATGTCATTTAAGATATGTCTCACAAT